CCAAGAAGATGGGGGGGAAACCTGGTCACATCCTCTCTTTCCATCACCCCAGACTGTGGTCTTAGCCGGAAACCCCTCCCATGTCCGGGTGGCCACTCTGGGTGGGCCACGGGATACCAGTGCGAGAACCCCCATTTCCACCCCTCTCCAGACCTTCGCTGTGGTCACTCGGCTCCTTGGATGTCCCCACACTGGCTCCGGGGATGCTCTTTTTGCACCAGAGTCTTTAGACGTGGCTGCAGCAGGAAACCTCCCAGGATGGACACTCTGAGGGGAGGACCCGCAGTTGACTTGTCCGCCCGAATCAACAGGTGGACGGGGGCTGTCCTTTCTGGGGTCATCCCGCCCCTCGCCGCAAAAAAGAAGGAAACTTCTCGGTCGGAACAGAGCGGGATGATTTTCACACAGCCCTGTCCAGAGCGTCATCGACAAACGTACCCCCAAGAGACCCCCCTCCCCCCAGCAAGAGGACCACCAGGTTAAACCCGGATCTCAGTAGACGTTAAAACCGAGGTCGTAGGAGCTTGCTGCTCTGCTGATGTGAATAACGACAAAGTACGGCCCACGACAGCCCGTCCTGGTCGCGGGTCCATACGTCCTCGGCAGTTCTCCGGCACTCTCCCTCTGCCGCTGCACCCGGGGCAGACCCTGCCGATCGGATTCAGGACGCTTCCTGCTGATGAGTCGTGTGTGTTCTCGATACACGGCTTTGGACAACCGCCGCCCGCTGATCCGGAAAGTCGGCAAGACAAAATCTGTTGGCCGTCCCCCCACCCGGCCTCGGGCTTTCCCGAGGCGTTAGGTTTTCTGTGTGTGGCTCCTGTCCCTATAAAGGGTGACCGTGTGGCTCAGGCGGAGCCAGGCTGGGGCCGGGATGGGTCGCTTCCAAATCTTCAGTCTGTCCTGCAGGCATCTCTCCTGGGGCCCACCTGGAATTCATCTCCAGGCGCCCATGGGGGGCGGCGAGGAGAGAGTGAGGGGCAGGGGGTGGTCCTGGAGGGAGCAGTGGGCTTGGTTGAGCTGTGGGGCTGGGGGTGGCCCCATGAGAGCCTCCCGTGAGCCCCTGCAGCCCAGCATGCACCTGCTGATCCCTGGACCGGGGCACAGTCCTTCTACAGCCTCCTCCTCAGCCCCCGTGGCCTCTGTTTTCACCCTGTTTTCTCTCTTTCTTTCTCTCCGCTCCCTCCTGCGGCCTCACATCTTGCGTCGCCCCCAAGTTTCCCAAGGTGAGTCTGCCGATGGGCGATGGGCGGCCTCGAACCCGCCACTGGCCTCACCGCCCCCAGAACACGGATGCTCCCTGCACCCCCCCCCCGCCACCAACTTGGCCATCAGGCTTTTATTTTGTTTTTGTTCTTTAGATCTGTTTGTATTTATTTTCGCGTCTTTTGTGTATCCCGGGTTTTGCTTTTGCTTTCTTTTTGTTTGGATTTTTAGCTTTTGGCTTTGGACAACGTTGAAACATAGACAAAAGCCGAGGGCCTGGTATACTGAGCCCCTCAGCGCCCACACCGGCTTCAACAGCTGCCAACTCACGGTCACTCCTGTGTCATCTGGGACATCTTCTCTCTTTCCTACATTTCCGCCCCCAAATTGGTGAATAATTTGGGAAATAGACAAAAAGCAGTCAAGTCCACAGAAGTTCCCTCTGGGGGCTGAGTGACCAGCTAACAGGGGGAACCTTTCAGCAGATTCCAGTGGCTGAATTTTCCCAACGGCCTCAAAATGATTAACGGTGTTTTAAAGGCTTGGAGCCCTTTGTGTCCCACACGTCCGGCTGCTTGAGCTCACACACGCGGCGACAGTCTTTTGCGTCCTGTCTTCTGTTTTGCTTTCCATCCTCCTGTCCATCCACACGTCCCAGGTGCCTGTCACACTGCCACTGCCTCCCACGGCTCTGCCCTGGGAAGTCACACCAGGCAATGACTTCTGGGGTGTGGCTTGAATACCTTGAATACGTTGAATACCTTACCGCCCCCACCCGGACACCCTCCTCTCCGATACCCCCAGTGAACCCAAATTTCCACAGCTCTCCATTCATCCTTCTGTTTCCCGTTAAAAAGTGCATGCCCCTGGGAAAAGTCGGACACCCCCCCCTCCCCCAAGCATAGCAGTCATTTCTACTTCAGTGAGAATAAGGCCTCACGAACATATTCCGGTTCGCAGGCACCTCCTGGGGAAATCCCGGAGGAAGCTAGCGTCTCACCCCGTCTCTCTGCTTCTTCCTCGCAGGCTACAAGGAGCAGGGCATCCCACAGCAGCTGTGAGCCCGAAGGAGCCGCCAAGAACTCCGGGGTGGTCCGTGAGGGCCGCACCAGGCAGCGGCGGACACAAGGACCCTTACGTCTTCTCTTCTGCCGTGTCCCGGGTTTGGAGCGCCAAGTGGGGGCGATTTAGAAAGATATTTATTTCGAAGACACATCTGCTTTTTTTGGCAGGCTGTGAGGCTGCCCACCCCTCCCCCTGCTCCAGAAAGACGCGGGAGCCCCGAGCATCTCAAGCGGGGTAGGGAGTGGGGTCAGGATTGCTGACGGCGAAGCTGGCATCCTGGGCTCACCCCTGCCTCGCACGGCTCCCTGGGTCCCCCCAAGCGTCTCCTGGCCCTGCCTCTCCTTTCTGCAGCCCACGCTTTGCCCACTCCCTTCCTCATGGCTCAAATCTCTGGGCCCGCTTGTGTTTCGATCTTTGCTTCCCTGGAAGGAGGCCAGTGACCCCCACCCCCCCCAGACCAGAATCCCCAACGAAGGCCAGAAGCTTTCTCGTTACACTTAACTCCGCTTCCGGCCCGCGGCCCTCCGGAAATCCTCGGGGCTGGACGGGTCTCGGAATTCCAAAAACCCGGATCCGAGAAAGAACGAGAGACGTTTACCGCCCGTTTCCTGCTGCCCAGTCGGGACCAGCTCCCCGCCGTCAAGCACAGGACCGTTTCTGCGGAGAGACGTGTGAACGGTCGGGCCGATTGGGATCAATAAAAACGCCAAATAGCGTCACCTTGTTGGTTCAGGTCAGATTTGGGCCTCAGGAAGCGACGGAAGGAAACCCAGCATTCGAGAGCGTTCGGGGATATAGAGCGGCAAAAAAAGAAAACTAGGAGTCGTGCCCTTCTCTCCGGAAGTCCCTCTTGCGCACGAGTCCCCGGGGACGTTGCTGTTGTGACGGGGGTTCCTCCCGCTGCAAAGGGACAGTCGGGGCCTTTGCGGCACCTGCGTAAAAGATTGTGAGTTGGATCCTGGAGGGGGAGGGGGGCAGGAGCTCACGGAAGTTGTTCGGGCCACTGCGGGTCGAGTGTTGATCTGAGGTTAAGAGAAAGGAGATCCAAGGTCATGTGACAGGTGGACATCTGCACGCCCGTTTTCGTCTCGCGGGAATTGCTAAACCGTGGGTCTGGCTCCAAGCTGTTTGCGGGCCTGGGGCTCCCCGTGGAGAAGTGGAACCCCCCCCCCCCCGGCCGCAGCCCCTACCCACCACCCCCAGCGCCGAGTCGGAGGCGGCCCGATCCGGCCCCTCTGCCAGCCGCTTGGCTTTGACCACCGCCCGGTCCTCTCCCGTGGCCGCCCGGGGCCGGCCTGCACTTCCTAAACCCCTGGCTGTGTCCGTCTTCCTGTCCTTTCCCCCCTGACCCAGCCAGGCCTCTCTGCTGCTGCTTCCGTGTTTGCGATCCTGTGCGTTTTCAACGCGTGGGACCAGGCTTGGTTTTCTGCAGAAAGGCAGAACCTGCCGGTGGGTGAAGACGGCGTCGTCTGGGCCAGGAAGAGACCAGGAGGCTGCTGGGAGCAGAGGATCTTGCCTTCCGGCCGCGGAGGGGCAGAGAGGAAAGAGCAGTCTCCGTGGCACGTTTAGTGGCAGTCCAGACACAGGCGGGGTTTTCCTGGGTGACAAGTGTCACCCTGAGCCCGGTGGGGGCGGCCTACTACAGGGCTCGGTGGGCTCGGAAGGCCCATTCCCCTGGGCACCCCCGCCTCCGAGGCTCCCCTCCGCTGCCACCTGCTTCGGAACCGGAGAGTCCGTGAGGATCGCCTCACCGGGGAGCAGCCCACTGTGGCCTGAGTGTCACCGTCCTCAGGTGACGGCCAGTGGCCAGTGGCCTCCAAGGAGTCTGAGGTGGCCGCTCGGGCTGTTGGAAGTTCAGCCGATTCGTTAAACGGCAGCCAGCTGCAAAGTAGGGTTCCCGTGAGCAAGTGACGCAGCACACGGGCGATGGCCCCGAGGTCCCGGGCTCACCCCAGGTGCGGCCTCTCGGTGCTCACGCTTCTGCAGGATGCCCCCCAGCCGCGGGTGTCTGGGGCAGGGACCTCAGGCACACAGAGAAGGCCGCAGCACACGGGATACACCCAGGACCCTGCGGTGGCCCTCGGACCGGAGCGGCAGTTCCTGAGGCAAGAAGGAGCCACCGGGACCCGGGGGCGTCCCGTGCATGGTGGAGACTGTTCAGTTCCGAGTCCGCGGTAAAGTCCAGGACCTCCGGCCGGGAGGCCCAAGCCCCGTGGGAGCGGCGGGGGATGGGGGACGTCGGGCCCCGGTCCCTGCACCTTTCTGGCCGCTGTGGGGCGGGGGCCACAGTGGGGCCGACACGCTCCAGCTGCCCCTCTGCCCCGGCTTCAGAAGCGGCAGGCCTGGCCTTGGAGCCCGTCCCCGGCTGCACTTGAGGGGGCGTAAAGAAGGGACCAGGAGCAAGATGCCTTCCCTGTGTGGCCCCAGAGCCGTGTGTCAGCCCCGACGACGGGGGAGCTGCCCGGTCCTAACACGGAGGACCAGGCCCCCCGCTGTCCCCGCCTGGGGGCTCCGGGCGCTCTGACCACCACTCCCAGAGGCAGGGCCGTGACTTCAGCTTCATGCGGACGCCCCGAGGGCCGAGGAGCAGTGGGCAGGACACGTAGAGACAGTGGCAGAAGCCACACGGTCACCATTCGCCCGGGAAGAACAGGGACCCGGGCGTCAGAAGGAAAATCCCAACACTGAGCCCTGAGGCCAGCGCAAGGCGGGGGCTGAGTCCCCAGGAGGAGAGAAGGCCTTCTGGAGGCCTGGGGCTCTCCAGGGGGAAGGCTGTCCCTTTCGCCACAGCTCAGCTCTTAAAAATGCAAAAGTAAGTCTCAGATGCTTTCTTCCCGAACCCCCATCCCTGCACAGAGGGGTGAGTTTGCGAGGGTTACTTTGGTTTTGCCTGGATCCTGCGCCCCGGGCCCCTCCGGCTGCCACGACACTCGCTGTTTTCACCCCGTTGGTGGCATTGGCAGAGAAAGCCCAGGTGTGTCGCGTCAACCGCTTAGGGACCCGGAACTTAGACCCAAGCCCCCCAGGTGGTGGCCGCAGACCTTGTTCAGCATGTTTATTACTCCCGCTTGCTGGTTGGTTTGGAGGGCTTTCCTCAGAGGGACCTTAGGTGGGTCCCAGATGCACTGTGACCCTCCCTGGAGACCGTGACTTTGCACGTGCGGGAGCCGTCCGGAGCCACTGCTGACCGCGAACCTGCCCCGGGGCTGAGCAGAGACGGGCTTCCTTCTTCTCAGCGGTCCCCCCTGTGCTGGCGGCAGGTGGTTCTCGAAGGTGGGGCTGCCTGCCCTGCATTTGTATCCAGAGAGCACTCCGTGGACGCTGGTGTGGACTGACGGGGGTCTCCCGGTGCCCTGGCCGCCACGCCCTGCCCTTCCCGCCCTCGGGGGGAACAGCAAAGTGAGTGGAGGCAGGAGGGGCGCCTCTCCCCGCGGAGGGCGCCGTGTGTGTGTCGGGATGGTGAGGCCAGGCAGTGGGAAGGGAGGCCGGGAGCGGCCTGAGCAGGTGGGCGATGTTCGGGCTCCCGCGTTCTTCACCCGCCGGGCTCTTAGGGCTTCAGAACGCTCACGGGGTCGCGGGCGTGCAAGCCACGTGGGACCCTCCCCGTGGTGATGCGTGGGGCACCTCGGGGGTGACTTCCAGCTTCCGTGCCGTTCGTCTCTCCTCCCGGCTCGTGCCTCCGTTTGACAAGGGGGGGCTGGGCAGCCAACGCCGGTCGGTCCCTTTTCTCTCCGAGCCAAGGGCCTGGAGGACGACGAGCCCAACCCCGGGCGACCCTCGATTCCACGGCCCCGTCCCGATCCTGTCACAGCGGGAGGCAGAGGACAGGGTCGCACGAGTACGGGTCCTGTTTCCAGTACAGCTTGTCTCTCTCCTCGGCTTTGGTCCCCGGCCCCTCCCTTCCTGCCTGGATTTGCCAAAATGCCAGCCACCCGCAGTCCGTCCCGGGCCACCGTCACCGTAGGTGAGGCGCACAGACAGGTGCACGCTGTCACACACGCGTGCAGCACCGCACGCACACACACGTGTGCTCACAGCCCCTTTGGCGGCTGGGTGAGGACGGGACTCTGGGGACTTAGGACTGGGTGTTTCATGTCCGCAGAGGGGCCTCTCACACCCCCCGGGAGCCGTCCCTCCAGAGTGGCTCTGGCGGGCACAGTCCCCTTTACCATCTGCAGGGCCCTGGGCCTGGAGCTCTTCCTCCTGGGGACCCTTGGCTCAACACCCCCACCCACCAAACCCAGCTGTGCTCGTCCGCCACGCCTGGCTTGTGGGAGGGACAGCGTGGGTCTGCCCAGAGCGGCGGGGACCGTGATCCCTTTCTGGGCCCTTCTGGGGCTAGACGGTCCTCTCCTCTGAGGCTCCTTTTCCCACAACCCTCCCACCGGCCCCAGGATGGGAAGCAGCGGGGAGAGAAGGGGACGGAGGTCAGGCCCACCCCGCCTTCTGGGTCAGCGCCTGGCTGGGCGTCCCCACCGGGGAGCAGGCGATGGTGGCCGTAACTGGCCGGGCACCCCGTGGGAGCACTTGGCTGGCCCTCTGCACAGGCCGAGTGATAGGCCTGTCGTAGCTGGTGCCAAACTTTTTTAAACAACATACATAAACACAAGCCTGGGTGTGTGCATATTAGCCGAATTTATATTTGGACGAGTGTTGTGTTGAGACTTGGAGTTTTTGACCCGTGATTGACTGTTTGGGTCTCTCTTCCTTCTGTTAAGCAAATCCCTGTACGTTTCCGTGGTTCTCTGGCAAGACCCGCTGCCCGGTCTCCCAGGGCTCGCTCTTTCTACTCCTGCCTAGACCCACAGCGGCTTCACCCCACCCGCGGCCACTTCCCTTGGGGTCCTACGAGCCTGCCAAGGCGGTTTTCCGGCGCATTCCGTGGACGGGAGCCTTCCTCGGTTCTATGAGAGGGAGAAAGTCTCAGGTTGGGGACCTGGGGAAGCTTCCAGACTTGCAGCCTGGGGCCCAGGCCTGCAGCTTTGCCTTCCCAGTGTTCTCAGGACGGAGCCCTCGGCAGGCCCGCCCGCCACTGCCCGGGGCCCCTCTGCTGCCCGGGGCCCCGCGCCCCTCGAGGTGCCGAGCAGGGCCCCGACTTCCCCAGCGCCCCGCCAGCTTCAGAAGTCACAGCCCAAACGCCATGCCGTATACGTCATGGCAGACAGCGTGCATGACGCTAGGAACCTGTATACATAGCCCCGTGTACATATTTATATATTCCTATTATAGATACACAAAGCATGGCAATCCTTTGGCATTCCAAATCTGTGTTTTTTTAAATCCTGAAATACAACTTTAGACACCTTTTCTTCCTGTTTCTCTTTTCTATGTAATAAACGTTCATGTGACCTTTCTGGTGGCTTCTCAACCCCCTGTGTGCTCTTGTTTTTCCGGCTGGATGGACCCAGACTTGGTCCCCAGCGCCTCCCGCGCTCGCTCCGCCAAACCTGCTGATGCTGTTCTCTCGGCACGAAGGCTGGCTGTCCTTCCGAGGGCAGGGCTTCGTTTCCCACCCTCCCCTTCTTCTGGGGGTAGATCTTTGGTGATCCGATCCCTTTGGAACTGGGAATTCAACCACCATCCTGGGCATCGCCCCCCCCCCCACCCCCGGGATCACCAGGAATAAGGTACAGACGGGATTCATCCCTATAGACGCCTGGTGGGGGAAATGTGTGTGACGTAGACATTTGGGGGCGTGTTAGGAAGCGGTTAGGAGCACTTCTAATGAGCTGTTCAGCCCTAACAAGGGACCGGTTGAACTACTTGGGAGGAAGGGCAGGGCACAGTCCAGGGCCCCGCCGGCATTTTCTTCACCGACGGGGTCAAGGCCTGGAGAGCTTATCGAGTTTGTAGACGAAGAGGAGCAAGTGGACGAACAAACCGGGATTCAGAACGCCCCTGACGGGCAGGCCCCAGATCTGTGAGCTGACGCTAAGGGCTCAGCGACAGAGCTGTCCTGGGGAGCGAGCGCCCCTCGCCGTCCCTCACGCCGTGAGTCAGGTGCACTAAGAGCAGGAGGGGGTTCTGGAATGCCTCGTCTGTAGAGTCTCAGGCAGCGCCCGGCACCGGGGAAGGCGAGTCTCCAGGTGTCGCGTGCTGGGGCTTCTCTGGCCTGTCGGCCGCAGTGCCCTTGAGTGTTCAGGACGGGACTGCTTCAAAGTCCCGTCAGTCCGTGAGACTCCGGGCTCAAGCGGGGCGACCCTCCAAGGCCCCAGAAACGGGCCTCGGGTTGGCTCGGTCTCTGCTAAACCCGGGCCTAAGGCTGGCGATGACCCGAGATACACCCCAGGGAGCCTTTCCTGATCAGGTGCATCTTCCAAATACTCACCGGGCTCAGATCATGGGGCCGGGAAGGCCCCGCGGAGCAGTGCAGCGTCAGAGGGACCCCCTTCCGGGCGTAGGGGGCACGTTGGGCCGCATGAAGGCGTCTGTGCCCCAGAATGCCCCACATCCCCAGCCCCCAGGCTCTGGGAGAGGCCCGTCACAGGGAGGGACACACAGGGCCCGGGCACGAGAAGGGCCGCGCCGGGGTTTGTGGACCGGGCCTGGCCAGCCGGGTCGCTGAGACCTCACACAGTGACAGAAACCAGGAATTGCCGAGGAGAAGCGGGGACGGGGCAGTGGCTGCTCCTGTGAATGGGGCACACTTTGAGAGGCTCACGGGCAGCGGGACCTCCGGGGCCTGGGGGAGCTTGGGCGTCCCGGTCCCGTCAAGACGCCGCGGCTCCGGGGCCCGTGTCCTTGCGGAGACGGGCGGCCTGAATGGCCCCTGGGTGGGCCATTCCTCTTCCCACTGACTAGGTTTGGGCCCCCAGAAGGGATCAGGCTCTGAGACGAGCGGTCAGAGCGGCGCACGGTTTTCTTTTCACCAAAAATAGCCACGCTTAACACACACACACACACACGCGCACACACCCCTCTAGAAAGCGAAGAAACTTTTAAAACTGGGGATGTCGTTGGCGGAGGAGGCAAGCACTTTGCAAACACTCAGAAGCTTCCTCCTACCCCCATCCAAATCCTCCCTGGCGCCCCAGGCCCAGCTCCAGAACTGTAACCACCGGGCGAGGCCAGACTGGTCCTGTGGCCCTGCCCTCCACCCCTCTGCTCCTGGGCCAGCTGTTACCCCCCCACACACCACCCACGTGAGGCAGGGGGAGACCGCCTGTCCCTCCACTCAGCCCACCCAGCCCTCCCGCTCAGCTAACCTGCAACGATCGAGGGTCTTTCCTGAGATCCTTGGGGTCTTTCCTCCTTGGTCCTGAGGCTGTGTTTGCAAGCCTGAAGCCACATCGGGCCCGAGGCCGGACAAGACAGCGGCACGCAGGGAGACGGAGGAGGGGGTCCCCACGGCCGGTGCTAGCCTCGCCCCTTTCACCACGGCCACGGTGCTCCCGGCCCTTCCTGCCTCCCTCGGTGCTCCTTCCTTCCTGTCTGTGAACCGGCTCAAGTTGAGCTTCTCTCACTAATAACAAAAGGAGCCTTGGCCTTCACCGACCGCGCACGCACGTTCGCATGCACACGCGCCAGGCCCGGGCAGGTGATCGGCGAAGCCTTTGGCGTTGACGTAACACAGGCTTCTGTCCCCGCCGGCACCACCCACCTCCCGCTCCACCGTCCCCTCCTGTAAAGGGCACAATACATAAAGAAAAAGTTGGGGCGCCTGGGTGGCTCAGTCCGTTGAGCGACTTCGGCTCAGGCCATGATCTCACGGTTCGTGCGTTCGAGCCCCGCATCGGGCTCTGTGCTGACAGCTCGGAGCCTGGAGCCTGCTTCGGATTCTGGGTCTCTGTCTCTCTCTCTCTCTCTGCCCCTCCCTGACTCAAGCTTTCTCTGTCTCTCTCCAAGTAAATAAAAGCTCCAGAAAATGTTAAGCCACATGTACAAATCCTTTCTTTTTCCCATCGAGCTGACGGCACGTGTGGATGCCCAGGCGGGTGAGGGCCAGGCAGGACATCTCAGCGGGCTGGGGGCGCCGCCTGGTCAATGAGGGTCAGTTACAGCGTACGAAACCAGGGCTGGGGTCCCAGGACCAAGATCAGTGTCTCCTTTCTGAGCCCACGTGAAAAACCGCACCCAGAGGTTGGCGGTCTGAAGTCCTTGCATGAATTCTCCGCGATCCGGGATCCTCGGGGCGTCCAGCCGCCCAGACCTGCCGGACGGGCCGCACAGCAAGGCCCAAGTCCCTTGACAGAGGGAACCAGGTTTCTCAGACACGAGACGCCTCCCCCACATCGTGCGGGTCCTATAACGCTTTTCTTTCTCTTGTGCCACCCGGGTCCCGTTCCAGGCAAACCTCTTCGCGCAGGAAGGGTGGAATTCGACGTGGTAAGCGGCTATCGGAGTGCACCTGCCCCCTCCTACCTAAAATGGAAACTGTTTTATGCAGTGAGTCCTCCGCACCCAGCACAGAGGCAGGATTTGTTTCCGTTGGCTTCCGGCCCGTCTGGAGGGTTGGTTGCTTAGCCGCGCAAAGAAGTCTGAGCCGACAGGCCTGCAGGCTCGAAGGATTTCAGATCGGAGAGAAGCCAGCCGGGCAGAAAGAGAGCAACGCTTGGAAAGATGAGCATCAAACCTCGGCAGGGGTGGCGGGACTTCGGAGGCTCGACGGGGTTCCAGAGCGCCTCGCGAGTTCCATGAAAGCTTTTCACTTCCCGCTCAGCTCTGACTTCAAGAGGCGTTGTTTGGTGTGGCCACGCGGTGGCCCCCGAGTCCCGGGGCCCCACATGGTTGGGGGGGGCAGGGCTGTGCCCGAGCCGCACCTCGCAGAGATGCCAGGACCGCGAGCGTGGGCCTCCCTGCCTCCTCGGCCTCCAGGTCCGGCCTGCAAAGGTTCCTCCCTCAACCGTGGTGAGGGACTCTGGCTGGCCTGCCCCGGTGGGGACCCCTGCCCCGAGCGTGCGGTCAATCTCAGGTTCTCTCTCCAGCCCACAGTAGTCTGGTCTGACGTGGTGGGGAGGGTCGATGCCCTCCAGCCCCCCAGCTCGCTTTCCAGGCTCACTTCCCGCCAGTTCTGCAGCCGGTCTCCCCTCCTCAAGACCCCGGCGGCCCGTCTGGTTTTGTCGAATCTGATACAGTAAACTTGGGCTCCTTTTCACCGTGGGAGCCACATGTGTCCATTAAAACATTCTGGAAGATTCTGGGGCGCCCGGGGGGGCCCAGTCAGTTAAGCGTCCGACTTGGGCTCAGGTCACGATCTCGCGGTTCGTGGGTTCGAGCCCCGCGTCGGGCTCTGCGCTGACAGCTCGGAGCCTGGGGCCTGCTTCGGATTCTGGGTCTCTCTCTCTCTTCTCTGCCCCTCCCCCCCCCCAAAGTAAATAAAAATCATTTAAAATTTTTGAAAAACAAGTGTGTGTGTGGACTGAAAATCTCTTCCTAAACGGCTCTCCAGAGGAACCACGAGATCTCAAGGGCATGACGCCCTTCTCTGTGACCACCTCCACCGTCTTGCAGGTAAGTGGTCAGGAAGCTTCCATGTAACTCCTCCAGCGACCAGGACTCGCCGCCTCCTTCCTCTGCGGGACGCGAAGACCTGCTAGAAACGGGTTGGCTGAGCCGCCCCTACTTTCCGGTAATAGCTGCCCATCAGTCCCTGCGGATCCCTCAGAACCGAAGACTGAGGAGAAGGTGGGAGTCCCCCACGAGGCGGCCGGCCCGGCTTGTCTCCGCCTCCCCGGCTTGCCTTCTGCACGGCGAGCACCTTCGGCCCTTCTGAACGTCACTCGCGTGACCTGGATTCCGGACATACCCTGTTCTGATCGAGGAATCCCAGCGCACGTGTTAAATTGTCAGTGGGTGTGAGCGGGTGGGGAGGGGCGCGTGTGGAGGGGTGGGGTGTGGAGGGGTGTGTGTGGAGGGGTGCGGCGTGGAAGGGTGTGCATGGAGGGGTATGTGTGGAGGGATGTGTGTGGAGGGGGCTGTGGGGGGGAACATGTGTGGAGGGGTGTGGCCACAGGCCAGCCTGTTTCAGCAGGAAGGTTCTGGAAGCCGGAAGATGCTCAGGATGAGCAGGGGGCCTGAGAGGGCTCCCCGAGCGCACTTTGGAGGGAGCAGGAGGGGAGGAGCGCATCTGGGATCCCGACAACGCGCATGTGCGGAACGTGTTCGGACCGCGCTGGATAAACAGGAAACTGTCAGGAAGGAAAACCAACGGCTCGCGTGAACTCGGCTTTCGTCAGCGAGTGGGATCCCGCGAGCAATGCCCTACACCGGGCTCCTGGGGTGTCCCCCGTCCCCCGGCACCTCTAACTCGGGGCCCGGGGAGGGGAACGGAGCTGCTCTGCACCCCATCCCCCACCAGCCCACAGCTGCTCTGCGGGGCACCCCGTGTGTCCCCCCCCACCCCCACACAGCCACAGCCACCGTGGAGGG